GAAAAAAGTAATCTGATTACGTAACCCGCGTTACCCCCAACACTGAACGTCTCGGAAAGTTGTCTCTGCAGTCAGCGTCTTCGTCGAGCGAACAATAACGTTATTAGCTTATTAAACGCTGTTATTTTGAAATATCCTAGAAATAATAAAAAAACACCTCCAGGAGGAATGAGTGGAACAGAAAGCTTATTTCGCGCACATAGGATGAATGTGTAATTAGTGTCGACGTGCCTTAAATAAACACCTGTGCGATTAAACATGGCAAAGACTCTCGATCCCGCGGGAAACACTGCTGGATAATGGCAGTGAAAACGCAAACTCAATGCGAAATTCAACTCAGAGGTCAGTTTGGTGTGCGGTGCAGCGAACTCAACAGTACTTACGTCTTACTTCACATCATTACGCATGTAATCCGATTTAGAACTAAATAAAAAAGCTGTAAAAGAACTCCTCGTCCACTGTGAGAAATTGTCACGCGCATAAAACACTGGCAAACACACACTGAACGCCGGGGCGTCCCATTAATACACTCAGCCCACCGAAAACTCCCAAACTTTTGGTGCGCTCCCTACTCAACGCTCTCCCTCATGCGCATGCGCAGAAGCCGATGCGCTCACCGATCCTACTACGGGAAAGGATTATCTCATGAATATTAATTACGTAACGTGCCGCTCGTCTAACTGATTTAGCAGAAGTGCACACTCCTACAACATCGTGAACATTTTCTGCATTATTACAAATATTTTAAACTAAACGCTATAGGAAAGTTACCAAAGACATTAAAATACCTTAAAGGGACTTTGAAGTTACTCAGCATCTTTAACGTGCCCTAATTAATATTCATGAGTAGGCCTTCTCCATAGTAGGATTCTAATCTTTACTACCAAGAACAAACTTCTCTTTACCTTTAAATTAAGCTATATGAATTAAAATATATAGTATATATATATATATATAGTGTATATATAGGGGTGAGCAGGGTGATTTGAGCCTGCAGGGAAGTTAAGCCACCCCTTAGACAACTTTAAACAAAATTGGTGATAAGACCACAACTATATGAGTTATATCACCCTGAGATAAAAGAGGCCCATGGAATAATTGGTAACTCAAAAAACAGATTTTGGCTGTTCAATGTGATTTTTTTATATTCAAGGACCCATCCTTCTTGTGTCTGAACAATTACAGACAAATCTGGAGAAATAGCAGACGTGTTTGTACTTTAGGAAGTTATAGTATGGGGCTATACTGTTAGCATGATGTTAGCTCTAAACTACTGGATGATGCAAGTTTGTTGAAATGGTAGGAGAGTGGGTTAATCTGAGCCAAATATCCTGGAGTAATGTGAGCCAGTGGCTCACCCCTCATGATTATAAAGTATGATTTTCCCTTGTCTTGTTTATGAAAATTGGCCATTGAAGTATTTATGAAATTGTATTTCCCTACATCATTTATATGTGGGATGACAGCCCAGTTCTGTAAGATCAATTGCATTTTTTTTATTCTTCAATTTGAACTTTGTTTTGTGCTGAAATTTGTAAATAATGAAAATACCTTCGAAGTTGAACTGTATATCTCTTAAAGGGGTCATATGATGCGATTTCAATTGTTCCTTTCTCTTTGGAGCGTTACAAGCTCTTGGTGCATAAAGAAGATCTGTAAAGTTGCAAAGACTAAAGTCTCAAATCCAAAGAGATATTCTTTATAAAAGTTAAGAGTCAGCCACACCTACCTAAAACGGCTCGTTCTAACACGCCCCCACATATCTACCTCACTATGTGGGAAGATTTGCATAACGCCGCCCAAATGTTCACGCAAAGAAAGAATGCATAACTTTTATTCTCGCTGTAGTATTGTTGGTGCCGCCGCCTCCATGTCGTAAAGACGCTGTGTGTTTCGTTGTGAATGCGAAACTACTTTGTTTGGTCTTCCAAAAGAGGACGATATCTGCTTCGTCATGCCTAGAGCTGATCCGTGCTGGTCGCTGAGGAAACACATCAACTTCGCGCTGTGGATCACCGGATCGGCTTTCACCGTGGACGAAGCGGAGTCCAGCCCGGGGTCGTCACATGTGGTTGCCGCAGGCATCACAGTATGGTAAGGGACGTAACATTTCCGTCACATGCTTGAAGTATTCGGCCAATCACAACGCACTGGATAGCTGCCCAATCACAGCACACCTCGCTTTTCAGACCGATGAGTTTTGTAAAAATCGACGCGTTTCAGAAAGGCGGGGCATAGAGGAGAAACAATAATGTACAGTATGTGGAAAATAATGTGTTTTTGAACCTTAAACCGCATAAACACATTTCATTACACGAAATACACAAAATAATGTTCTTTTTAGCAGCATCATATGACCCCTTTAATGAAACTTTGTTGAGATACAAGGTGGAGAAAAACCCTGGATGGATGGCCAGTCCAAGTCTACAGTTTTCCCGCGGAATTAGGCTACTTTAACACTGTTGCCGCAGGTTGTTTTTCATGCCTGTGGGTTGAAGTGACCCCAATAATGCGATATTTAGCCCTACCCCTGAAATGCGAGTTTTATAGGGGGACCCCGTCAAAAAACATATTTTACCCCCCCCCCCCCAACCCGATTATTAACGGGAGTCCCCACTCGAAACGCGATTGGGCTATTTTTGAGTAGCAATTGGGTTTTTTTTGGTTTTGTTGTGAAAACCTGGCAACCCCGAGTCCACATAGATTTTGAGGGATAATTTTTATTGAAATGCTCTTCCTTTGACAAAGCTAGAGGTAAAAAAATATAAAAAGTTTTACTTCAGCATAATCAATGGCACAGTTTACCTCAGTGTGGCTTGAGCCAAGATATACCACTTTTTTTTGGAAAGCCATATTTTGAAAGCTGTTTAATTTAAATCCAAAGTGATTTTTCCCAAGGACGCACCATATCCTGAAATGTATGTGTATATATTATGTGTATGTATATATATTTATATTTAAGTTGGACCCGTCGTGTGCTTGCTTTACAGACACCATGCGTAAAAACTTGCTCAACTCACCCCGCTCTTCCCTACACACACATGATAATGGTACTCCCCGGTATTTGTCTCAATACGCATTCTTCCATGCTAACAAATTAGACAATCACAGGACTACTTTTCCTATTATCACTAAATGTAATCCTCATCTTTTTGAATAAGCAGTGAACAACAGGAGACCTGAGAAAGCATTATGAGAGAAACAGAAGCCATCGTTATTCAGTGTAACAGCGCTGATCTCAAGTCAGCTTCATCCTTGGTTAAAAATGGAATCATTTGAGACACAAAAGGCAAAATTGACTGAGGATCAGCTCTCATACACTGAGAACATTCATATGGGCAGCCTCTGATCTTCTTGTCAGTTCCATTATCAAGGTAAGGCCAGTCGCTGCAATCTTCCTGTGCGCTGGAGAAGGCTTTGATCAGTTCTGGTGATGAGAACCCAAGATGAAGTGAGCTGAGAACTGGTCATGGGAAACAGCACAGTGGGCTTTGGAGCTTTGGCCAGCACCTGAAAGGAAAAACAGAATCCCCAAAATCAGGAGAAACCTGGAAATGAGAGGATATCAGGTGACAGAGCGAGTGTTGAGTCCCATCACCTCTACATCTGCAGCTTTTCTCCCAGATGAACTCAAGCTGACAGGTACAGCTCATCAGAACAGGCTTTTGTGAGGTTATGCCCCTATATCCCTCAGCACTGCCGGGGAACTGCTGTGCCAGAATAGTATCTTTGTATCTGGAAATGTTGCTCTTATCTCAGCCCTTTTTATTCGGAGTTCATAAAAAAATGCTACCAAGATTCCAGGATGATACACATGCAGTGTTATTTTAGCTTTGCTTTGATGTACTGGGGTGGTTACATAAATAAAAAGACAGATCATAAATCAACCACTGTAAATGAACTAGCCTCACTAAGTAAGATGTTTGACTATCAGCAAAGTCTGCTCCACATTGGTGCATTTTAATAGCCACCCGCTTAGATGGAAAATCCACTATTCAATTGATATGTAAAGTAACCAACCACAGTTAGATTTTTACATGATGTTTATTCTGCAATCATTGTGTATACTGTACAATAATAGACTCAGTGGCAAGCAACAAAATCAGCGCTCATTAAAAGAATGTACTGTAGTCACTGCGACTGTGCAGAAAATATGTGCAAAATTTCCAAATGTAATAAATATCAACAACATAACTATTGATCAGCGATTTGGGGTCTTTTTTTTAAAGACACATTTTGAAAGAAGATTGTAATGCTCAAAAAAGCTGCATTTATTTGATCAAAAATACAGTAAAAACAGCAATATTGTGAAATATTATTGCACTTTAAAATAGCTGTTTTCTGTGTTAAATTTACTCCCGTGATGGTAAAGCTGAATTATCAGCATCGTTACTCCAGTCTTCAGTGTCACACGATCCTTCAGAAACCACATGCTGCTCAAGAAACACAAATGACTGTATTGTCAATGTTGAAAACTGTTTTTGCTTAAATTGTTTCTTAATAATTGTTGCATTTTTTTCATGCTGCTTTGATGAAGAGAAAGTACAGAAGAACAGAATTTGAAATAGAAATCTGTTGAAATATTATAAATGTCTTTAACTTTTGATCAATTTAATGTATCATTGCTAAATAAAAGTATTCATTTCTTGAAAAAAAATCTTACTGACCAGAAACCTTTGAAATGAAACTGAAAAGAAAGCTGAATATAATGTTCTGTTTTGGAGTATCTCCACAAGTAAATGGTCACTTTTATTTCAAGTCAAGTCGCCTTTATTTATATAGCACTTTTAACAATACAGATTGTGTCAAAGCAACTGTACAGCATTAAATAGGAGAATAGTGTGTCAATAATGCAAAATGATAATAGTAGACATACATTTTTCAGTTAAAGACAGTTCATCATTAAATTCAGTGATGTCGTCATTCAGCTCAGTTCAGTTTAAATAGTGTCTGTGCAATCAAGCCAACGATATTGCTGGAAATGAAGTGTCCCCAACTAAGCAAGCCAGAGAAGACAGAGGCAAGGAACCAAAACTCCATCGATGACAGAATGGAGAAAAAACCTTGGGAGAAACCAGGCTCAGTCGGGGGGCCAGTTCTCCTCTGACCAGACGAACCAGCAGTTCAATTCCAGGCTGCAGCAAAGTCACATTGTGCAGAGGACTCAACTGGTTCCTGTGGTCTTGTCCCGGTGGCCATCTGAGACAAGGTCTTTACAGGGGATCTGTATCTGGGGCTCATCTAGTTGTAATGATCTCCACTGACATTCATGCCTGTAGAGGTCATCTCTAGGTGCTGATCCACCATTTGGTCTGGATACAAACTGGATCTGGGTGACTGCAGTGACCATCTGATCTGGATACAGACTGGATCTGGTGGCATGCCACATACAGCAGGCTCATAGCTAGTAGTCTCTAGTACAGTCTGAATTACAAAATGACTATGGAACACTTTATAGTCTTGCTGACTTCAAGTAATGAAACAAACCACAATGTTGCCAGTCCGCATAAAGTGTGCCATCCAATCAGATTGTGTTGGATGTGTGAACGGTCATGGGCGGCTGTCTGAGACTA